AGACCTGGTGTCTCACCTGTTGGAAGACCTGGTGTCTCACCTGTTGGAAGACCTGGTGTCTCACCTGTTGGAAGACCTGGTGTCTCACCTGTTGGCCAGCAGTTGCTCTGGGTTGACAGGTGTGCTGGTGCAGCCTGCTGCAGCTTCTGAAGCAGGCTTCGGGGGCTGCCACTTCATTCTGTAGTAGGACAGGAGCAGGAAGAGGGTCTGAGGGTGGCGCTCTCGCTCCAGGTTCTTCTCCAGGCTGCTGAGACAAGCTTCAGTCAACGGGTGCTGGCTGCCAGGGTGGAGCTTCATGCTGGAGCTGAAAACCATGGACACGTCCTTCTGGTTGAACTGGTGCAGTCTGGACTGGGACTTCGCCTCCAGCACCTGGACTACCTGGGAATCACTGGGCAGGCCTAAGGACAGAGTGTACAGAGGTGAGTGACGTCAGAACTCGGGCGGAGCCTGACAGCGATGTGCGGACTCACCGAGCGCAGCCACGGCGTACAGGCAGTTCACGATGCTGAAGTTGTCAAACTTGTCGCAGTCGTTGACGATGGCGTCACAGAGCGTCCTGAAGTCAGGGTGCTCAAGAATCTGCCGCCTGTCTCCTACTCTGTCTGTGCAGGTGTCACCGGAGGAGCAGAGGGGCGTGGCCTGCAGCAGCTGTCCGATCTTCTGCAGAGCCACGGGGTAGTGGTTGTGGGAGATCTTGGCAGGGTTCTGGGTGACCCACCGCAGCACTTCATCAGGGCGCTGCGAGCGCTCAATCAGGCGCTTCATGGTGAAGAACGTGTCGTAGCTCATCTTCTCGTGGATGAAGTTCCACGTCTTCTTTCTGACACCACCGCCCACTGGGGCTCCACCTCCTTCGTAGATGTGAACAGGGGTGTGGTAATGTGAGGGTAGAGGGGGTGGGGCCAGGTGATGGGGAGGAGGGGGGTAGTGATGGAAATGTGCTCCTCGATGCGGATCGGGTCGACCATGGTACAGCTGGTAGGAGGCGGGAGGAGGCGGCACAGGATGAGGATGATGTGGGAGCTGGGAAGGAGGAGCCTCAAGCACTGCTAGCCCCACCCTCCGGCCCGGTTTGATCCTGCCTCCCCCGCCTCCTCCACCCCCGGTGGCGCTGTAGAGCCGGGTGGCATACATGGTGACGTGAGCTCGACTCAGGAGGCTCCGCCCAGCGGAAAAACACAGCATAGTCTGTCTTCAGGAAGCAGCTCAGCTCTCCTGTAACATCCCATAATAACCAGTTAGCATCCCGTAACAGTGAACTAGTTAAAGACTAGTTAGACAGCAGTTTCATACTGGTCAGAGACTAGTTAAATACTGGTCAGATACCAGTTAAAGACCAGTTAAATACTGGTCAGAGACTAGTTAAATACTGGTCAGATACCAGTTAAAGACCAGGTAAATACTGGTCAGAGACTAGTTAAATACTGGTCAGATACCAGTTAAAGACCAGTTAAATACTGGTCAGAGACTAGTTAAATACTGGTCAGATACCAGTTAAAGACCAGGTAAATACTGGTCAGAGACTAAAGACCAGTTAAATACTGGTCAGATACCAGTTAAAGACCAGTTAAATACTGGTCAGAGACTAGTTAAATACTGGTCAGATACCAGTTAAAGACCAGGTAAATACTGGTCAGAGACTAGTTAAATACTGGTCAGATACCAGTTAAAGACCAG